GGGGGGGGGCATTAATTAATCTGCAGATAATGATGAAATTAAGGTTGAGGGGGGAGGTTAAGGAGGGAGGGAGAGGGGGGGGAGGCCCCCCACTTTGTGGCGTTGGTGGCCCCCGAAAGCGATGCGCCGGGCGTCCTCCACGTTGTCGCAGACCAAGGCGTTGCCGCAGGCGTATTGAAGGGCTTTTTTGATGTGGGGGGGCTCGTAGCGGATGACGTCGATCACCAGTTTGGCCCCTTTCAGCTCCCGGAGCTTCTCGTCCGTCGGCTTCACCTGGAAAAATTAAGGGGTCACCCCCAAATTCAACAAGGACCCCCCCTCGAACCCCCCGAGAGGAGCAGGACGTCACAGGGATTCAATACAGACCCACCAAACCCCACCCCCAAGACCCTCCGGGGGGGCTACGAGGTCTAAAGGGTTAAAAGAACCCCCCCCAAAAACCCCCAGGAGGGGTAGGAGGGTCTGGGGGCTCAAAGGTGTCCCCCCAAAACCCTAGGGGTTCAATACAGCCCCCCCAAAACCCCCAGGGAAGGGTAGGAGGGTCACAGGGATTCAATACGGACACCCGAATCCCACCCCCAAGCCCCCCCGGGGGGGCTACGAGGTCTAAAGGGTTAAAAGAAACCCCCCAAAACCCCCTGGAAGGGGTAGGAGGGTCTGGGGGCTCAAAGGTGTCCCCCCAAAACCCCAGGGGTTCAATACAGCCCCCCCAAAACCCTCAGGGAAGGGTAGCAGGTCACAGGGATTCAATACGGACCCACCAAATCCCACCCCCAAGCCCCACCGGGGGGGCTACGAGGTCCAAGGGGTTAAAAGGACCCCCCCAAAAAGCCCCTGGGAGGGGTAGGAGGGTCTGGGGGTTCAATGGCCCCCCCCAAAAACCCCAGGGGTTCAATACAGATCCCCCCAAAACCCCCAGGAAAGGGTAGGAGGTCACAGGGATTCAATACGGACCCCCCTAAACCTCCCTGGGGGGGGCTACGAGGTCTAAAGGGTTAAAAGAACCCCCCCAAAAACCCTCCAGGAGGGGTAGGAGGGTCTGGGGGTAGGAGGGTCTGGGGGTTCAATGGCCCCCCCCAAAAACCCCAGGGGTTCAATACAGATCCCCCCAAAACCCCCAGGAAAGGGTAGGAGGTCACAGGGATTCAATACGGACCCCCCTAAACCTCCCTGGGGGGGGCTACGAGGTCTAAAGGGTTAAAAGAACCCCCCCAAAAACCCTCCAGGAGGGGTAGGAGGGTCTGGGGGTAGGAGGGTCTGGGGGTTCAATGGCCCCCCCCAAAAACCCCAGGGGTTCAATACAGATCCCCCCAAAACCCCCAGGAAAGGGTAGGAGGTCACAGGGATTCAATACGGACCCCCCTAAACCTCCCTGGGGGGGGCTACGAGGTCTAAAGGGTTAAAAGAACCCCCCCAAAAACCCTCCAGGAGGGGTAGGAGGGTCTGGGGGTAGGAGGGTCTGGGGGTTCAATGGCCCCCCCCAAAAACCCCAGGGGTTCAATACAGATCCCCCCAAAACCCCCAGGAAAGGGTAGGAGGTCACAGGGATTCAATACGGACCCCCCTAAACCTCCCTGGGGGGGGCTACGAGGTCTAAAGGGTTAAAAGAAACCCCCCAAAAAACCTCCAGGAGGGGTAGGAGGGTCTGGGGGTAGGAGGGTCTGGGGGTTCAATGGGGTCCCCCAAAACCCCAGGGGTTCAATACAGACCCCCCCAAAACCCCAGGGAGGGCTCTGAGCCTTGAGGGGTTAAACGGAGCCCCCCAAAGTCCCCAGATGAGCCTTGAAGGGTTAAATTCCGCCCCCCCCCCAAAACCCCTGGGAGGGGTAGGAAGGTTTGGGGGTTCAATGGGGCCCCCCAAACTCCTTAGAGGACCCCCAGAGGTTCAATGGGGTCCCCCAAACCCCCCCAAAGGTTCAATGGGGTCCCCCAAAC